AAAAAAAAAAAAGTCATTTTGGAATACTTTTAGAGTCTTTTTCTGACTTAGCCATTAAAAAAAAATACAACTAAAGCACTCTGGGAGGCTGAGGCAGATGGACTGCTTGAGCTCAGGAATTCAGACCAGTCTGGTTAAGAGCAAGACCCCATTTCTACTAAAAATAGAAAAACTAGCCACGTGTTGTGATGGGGACCTGTAGTTGCAGCTACTCGCAAGGCCGGGGCAAAAGGACTGCCTGAGCCCAAGAATTTGAGGTTGCTGTAAGCTATGATGTCATAGCACTCTACTGAGGGTAACAAAGTGAGCCTCTGTCTCAAAAAAAAAAAAAAACCAACAAAAACCATGAATAAAGATTAAGACAGTGTATAAAACAACAGAGTAAATCACTGTTCTGATGACTCCTTATAACAAATAAATGTAGCATGTGGCATATTATTTATTTTTATAAACAAAACATACATTTACTTTGTCCCATCTTAATTTATATATGTCAAATTATTATTTTTTGCTCCAATAAGTATGTCTTTTAATTCAGATATAAGAATCTTTAGTTCATGCTTCAGATTAATCTTATGTCTACTCTAGGCAAGTGAATTATAACTGCCAAGAATTTATTAAATCGATGACATTTGTAGAAGTGTCCTAACAATACTATCAATATTTGCTGAACTAACAAAATTCAGGCTTCTACTTGTAGTGCTTTTAAAATTTATCCTTTTACAATTTCAAAAAAAGTGGAAATTATCTAAATATTTACTACTGAAGGTTACATACTTACCTCTGGATAACTGCTTCATGAATTCTACGATACATATAGCACTCTACAAGTAACCATGGTGAGTAGAACCACCTTGGCGTTTCATCACTTTCCTTTAGAAGACTCTGATGATGTTCTAGGTACTGATTCCACATGTCAGTATCAACACATTTCTCAACCAAGGGGATAATTGGTTTATCTGTTTGCAATTCATTCCGTAACTTAGAAAGAAGTGAGATGGCTTTCTTTTCAGCTTCCACACCTGCCTGTGAAAATACAAGAATAAACTGTGTTTGTGTGTGTGTACACACACAGTGGCTCTCAATCTTCCTAATGCCGCAGCCCCTTAATACAGTTCCTCATGTTGTGGTGATCCCCAACCATAAAATTATTTTTGTTGCTACTTCATAACTGTTATTTGCTACTATTATGAATCATAATGTAAATATCTGATATGCAGGGTGTATTTAGTCAACTGTCGCAACCCACAGGTTGAGAACCGCTGCTCTAGAGTAACATTTTTTTATGAACCTTAACTCAAGAAAGAAAAATACTGTATCAACCGGGTATGGTGGCTCACACCTGCAATCCCAGCACTTTGGGAGGCTGAGGCAGGTGGATTGCCTGAGCTCAGGAGTTCAAGACCAGCCTGAGCAAGAGTGAGATCCCTGTCTCTAAAAACATAGCCCAGTGTTACGGCAGGTGGCTCTAGGCTCAGCTACTTGGGAGGCTGAGGCAAGAGAATTGCTTGAGTCGAAGAGCTATGACACCACAGCACTCTACCCAGGGTAACAAAGTGAGATTGTCTCAAAAAAAAAAAAAAAAAATCAAAATTACATTTTAGGTCTTTAACAAACTATTATAAATATTAAATTTAAAATTTATTTTTTTTGGGGGGGTGGCGCCTGTGGCTCAAAGGAGTAAGGCACTGGGCCCCATATGCCAGAGGTGGAGGGTTCAAACCCAGCCCCTGGCTAAAACCTGCAAAAAAAAAAAAAAAAAATTATTTATTTTTTTTTAAGAGAGAGAGTTTCATTTTATCGCCCTAGGTAGAGTGCTGTGGCAGCGTCACACAGCTCACAGCAACCTCCAACTCCTGGGCTTAGGTGATTCTCTTGCCTGAGCCTCCCGAGTAGCTGGGACTAGAGCCACCTGCCATAACACTCACCATATCGCCAGGCTTTTTTGTTGGAGTTTGGCCAGGGCCGGGTTTGAACCCTCCACCCTTGGTATATGGGGCCAGCGCCCTACTCACTGAGCCACAGGTGCCACCCAAATTTAGAATTCTTAAGTTGATAAAGTACACACAAAAACTTCATATCCACATAATCATGGCTTATCAACCCCACCCTTTAGTTCTGGCCCTTCTGGTGGCACCTATAGCTCAGTGGGTACAGTGCTGGGTGCTGGACACATACACCAAAGCTGGTGGGTTTGAACCCGGCCCGGACCAGCTAAAACAATGACAACTGCAACAACCAAAAAATAGCCAGGTGTTGTGGCAGGTACCTGTAGTCCCAGCTACTTGGGAGGCTGAGGCAAGAGAACTGCTTAAGCTCAAGAGTTTGAGGTTGCTGTGAGCTGTGATGCCACAGCACTCTACCAAGGGTGACATAGTGAAACTCTTGTCTCAAAAAAAAAAAAATTCTGGTCCCTCTGTATCTTCGTGTGGGATGATCTAAACCACTGCCAGATTTTCCCACATCTTTCGTGCTTTCAAACCTATTCCAAACGTATTCCGCTCTTTGTGAGGTTTCTTCTGGCAGTTGAAAGGGTTTTTTCAACTATTTGTTCTCTAGCAGTTTCCAGACAAATACCCTGACACACAAGGTGCTATAGTATCATCTCACATAATGGGCCAACAGGAGAAGGAACTGATGTTATGGGGCTCAGAATAAAGTGAAAATGTCATGACATCTTTGGTTTTATACTAGCAAGATTCCTGCCCCATTAACAAAAGAAAAGAAAAAGATGGAAGCCTAATAAGACACATATAGAAAAAAACGTAGGAAATAAACATCAAACCCAATTGAATATTTTTATGAAATCATTATCACCATGTTGATATTAAAGGAATTTAGTCCTTAGTGTCAGACCTACAATTGTATTAAATATAGACATTTCTCTGATCACTTTTTTCCCAAGTAGAATTTTTTTTTTTTTTTGCTGCTGGAACAAAATGTCGAAGCTTTAGAGATTCTGCAAGTTAAGAAATAGAAGAAAAGAAGTTGCAAAAAAGATAAATTTTAGGAGCAGGGCCCCAGATTCCACACATGACTTTCTTGAGAGGACTCCTCTCCTCTTCAAAATCTCTACACTGTATTCTTCAAATTCAATTCATTAACCACAGATTCTTTTTTTTTTTTTGAGACAGAGCCTCAAGCTGTTCCCCTGGGTAGAGTGCCGTGGCATTACAGCTCACAGCAACCTCCACAAGTAGCTGGGACCACAGGTGCCCGCCACAACGCCCAGCTATTTTTTGGTTGCAGCCGTCATTGTTGTTTGGCGGGTCCGGGCTGGGGATTCGAACCCGCCACCTTAGGTGTATGTGGCTGGCGCCTTAGCTGGTTGAGCTATAGGTGCCGAGCCAACCACAGATTCTAATAACTGAGATTTTTAGACTTGTGAACACCCTCTTTTACACAGGAAAATGTCTAGAAGAGATAATGGACTAAAACACATATTTGTGGCAATGCCAATTTGTTAACTTGCAAATAACTTCAAGTCATTTCAAATCTTTACTGAACTTTGTATGTGCCAGATACTAAACTCAGGGCCAAAGCTGAATAAAGCCTAGACCCCTGTCTCTAAGGGGCGCCTGTCTGCTAAAACAGGTAGTCTACAGGACAAGCATGTGGCTACTAAGACTGGTGAGCAGAAAACTGTGTGTCATGGTGCCTTTGGGCACAATGTAGCCTGGTACTACTATAATTAGGGGCTTTTAGAGCTAGGAGAACAGATGGGGCCTAAGAAGAGTGGCTGTAGGTATGAGTGAGGCATGCAAAAGGAGACAGAAAGGCTGCCCCGAATAGACTTAGGTCATCATTTTATTTAGGGGCATCATATGCCCAGGAGAGCATGAAATGGGTAGGGCTGGAGGGACAATGGTCCCTGTTTCTCTCTCTCAGCCATCACAGTTACCTGATGGTTTATAGGCATACAAGCCAAGTAGTAATACACTAAGACTTAATTACTGCATTTTAGATCACTCTAGTTAAAAAAATTTGAAATCGTAAGTTCAATTATTTGATAATTTGCTTAAAATATGACAAAATACTCAAGGTTGTATGATACATGCTAAATGTATAAATATAGCAGAATAAAATCATGTTATTTGTGATAAACATTAAAACCATTCATCAACAAAAATGTCAGTGATTACAGAGTGGGACATTGGGCTTTGGAGTAGGAATCTTCATACTTGTCACCGATATTGAGAAAGGCAAGAAAATTTTGTTCAGAAGTGTGCCCAGTGCGCAGCAGTCTGAGTTCTGCCTGGGGGAAGCAGTCCTTCACTCGGGACAGACCCAGGGACCCTCGCTCCCCATGGGAATGGTTGCAGAGACCTGTCTCTGAACAATTGTTGAGAACTGTGGAATCCCAGATTTGCCCTGGCTGAGTAGTGAGGTGAACAGGCGATCTCCAGGAACAAATAAGCTGGCAAACTGCTCTAAGCCCGGCAACCAGAGAGAGGTTAACAGGTGTGTGTTTGTCCCCCAAATTCACCGCGCCACCTGGTGTCCAGGAAGTACACTGCAGCATAAATATACTACAAAAATAGAATCCCTATGCCTTATCTGTATATAATTTTTTTGATTATTGTTGTTTTTCTCTTCTTTTTAATTTTGCTTATCTTATTATAATTTTTTTCTCTCTCTTCTTTCCTTCCTCAATTGGTTGCTGAGATTGCTTACATCAGGCTATCTTAGTGTTTTTTGTTTGTTTGTTTTATCTTATCTCAATGTGCTTTGCTTTTTGCCAAGTTGTACGGTTGGATCTTCTCCTATCTTCAATTTTTACATTCAAAAAGAGCAAGGACTTCTGTATTTTTTAACTGTATTTTATTTTATTTTTTTCCTGGTTGCAGAATTTTAGCTTGAACTATTCTCTCACCCTAATACACTCCACTGCATTCTCTCAGTTGATAGAGATTCTTCTCATCTCATCTCTTCCACGTGAGGTGCTTCGGCATCAGCTAACATAGTCCCCCCTTTCTTGTTTTTTCTTTCTCTTTTTCTCTGTTTTCTTTTTTCTTTCTTTAACCCTCTTCCCTCCCTCCCTTTAATCTGATTCAACGGTACATTTAATTTTCCTTTATCTATGTTTATATATATATATTTTCTCTTTTTTCTTTCCTTTTCCCTTTCCACCCTTTCTTTGCTGAGGGCCTGTGTGACACAGTGGTGATCTGGCAGGTTAACCACACCAGCAGACTGGCTCAAGGAAGTCAGGAGAACTTTCTACTCTTGGCTGCAGGAAGAAAGTTAGTAGAAAGATTACACTGAAGAACTTCTCCACTTTTCTTTTTTTTTTTTTTTAAATTCCTTATTAAATTTTTCCTTCTTGCTTTTGTGTTGGCTCTTTTCTTCTCTTCCTATTTCTTGGCAGAGGAAGAGTCTAGCTGCGGACAGACAAGGAAGGAGGGCCTAATTTTGAGGAACCCACCCAGCTCAGCTCCTCACAACCCTTGAGCTGTATGTGTGGCCTCAGCACCGGGCCGAACAAAATCTCTTCCATCACTCTCATCCTCCCTTCCTGTCCTCCCTTTCTCCTGTTCTTCAGTTTTCTTCTATTAGTTCCCCTTTCCCCCTTCTTTGGCCTTCCTTTCTCTTCTTTATCTTTCTTTTGCTTTTCTCCTACTCTTCCCCCCTTTTCTTTTTCTTTTCTTTTTCTTTTCTTCTTTTTCTCCTTTCCTGGCTGTAGCCCTTCTCCTCCTCCTGACCCCACACCAAGAGGCCTCTTCCTCACCTAAACTCTGAGACAAGGTAACGTGAAGCAAAGGAAGAAGTGAGAAGGAAAAAGGTGCAGAAGGAAGTGAACAAGAAGAAAGCACACATGAGGAGGAAGCCAGAGAAACATTCAGGCACCATGAAGAACCTGAGCAACTCCTCAGGGGACCACCAGGCAATTTTTAAAGAAGACTCCTCCTATGAAGAATTAATGGATTTGATAGAAAGGGAACTTAAAATATGGATAACTGAGACAATAAAGGGATTGGAAGGAAAAATGGAAAGACAGAACTAAAAGTCAGACCAAAGATATGCAG